ATCACACACAAAGTGCCCCTTGAACGGCGAAACTATATTAAAGACAGGTCAGTAAAATCATAGAACCATCTTACCATGATTAAAAACTCCCCTGTAACAATTATTAGTAGATTACCCATCAACGTTGTTTTTACATTTATTAGTGACACTCACTGTTATATGATCACACCCAATGTTTAAATAATTTATAAACATACAGTAAATTTGACAAATTATTATTGGCAATACTTATGGTTTTTTTGATGATGATATGATTGTGGTGGCAACATATTTTTGTTCGCTCTCTTTCAATTTGGCTGTACTCAATGCTGGTGTATTTTATTTTAATAATTAAGAAAATACAGTCCAGTGCTCAATTTTATCCTTCCATTTTCATTTACACACCCAACTTTGTATTTTTCAAAACATCGTACCTGCATTAAATATTATTCTTGTCTTTCCATTCGTCAGGAGCCGCATGGTCCGTCACACTCTGGTCCTGCTTTTCACAACATCAGCAACGCAAGTTGCGGGCGTGGCGTACGCGCAGCCGGGAGAGCGACGTATTTCACATGTGGCTGCGTTGTCCGTAGCAGCTTTAACTAACGTATGTTTTAAGTTTCATGACTTCTTTACACCTACATTGTACCCGAATAGAGATTTTGGTTTCTTTTTTCTTTTTTTTTTTTGTACATAAAATAAGTGCGCATTCAACGATGAGGTCGACGATGTAGCATGCTCCCCTAAATGCTGCCTGCTCACCTTGAAAAGGTCCAAGTTATAGCGTTAGGGAGACCGCAGGCACGGAAGGTCCACTCCCTAGCCGCTAGCCATATAAATGTATTTCGCCATGGAAGCGAAACACTTCATCATGCAATTACCCTCTGTGATATATCCTGTAGAATATCGATAAGCAGGCAACTATGCGACGTTGTTAAAGGCTCTGCAGTTTCTACTTAAACCGAGTCACCTATAAGATTCTTGGCATGCTTGTCGATTGAATCCAAGATGGCAAGTTGGTATTTAGCCAACTCATAAATGGCATAGTACCTACTCCATACACGACCGGATTTGTACAACATATAGCAAATAAATTGACATATTTCGACTGTTGAGGGAATTTAATTTTAACAGGTTAATGGGATTTCGTATTATTATCACTTATCATAATTTCATTATTTAATTTCCTCCAAAGGGCATAGCAATGCTGGTATGCTATGTGATCAGAGACGACGAGTGTCTTCAATTCGCTAGAAGAGTCCTCTCGCTACCCTCCAAAGAATGGCAAGACACCGCAGCCGGAGACACGTCGCTGAGTTGTAAGTTATTACTAGCCACTTACTATATTTCATAATACGATTTTTCGTTTCTTTGGGCAAATATATTGATACATTTCTCCGTAAAGACGAAATATATAAAATCCACACTACTGAAAATTTGAAATTTTTTAAACCAAAAAATATATAATTTTTTTCATATAATATCAAGAGACGAACAAGTTGTGTGCCTGATGGTAAGCTACGCCTGCCGATAACAGCTGCGCAGTGCCACTCAGAGCTTTAAATCGCAAAGATCTAAGTGGCTATACCACTGCGCTCGTCACCCTGACAAATAAGTTGACAAGCTAGCTAGGTGAAGACTGAAAATCAGTAATGCTGAGTCTTTAACCTTTTTGTCCACATCACTCAATTGCTTTTTTTCTATTCGTTTTTTAAGTGTTGTGTTCCTTATGTTTGTTCTGTACTGTTTGTGGAGAAATAAATACCTTTTTATTTTATTTTATATTTAAGTCCCATGTGCCTGTAATTTCACCAGCACCCTTCAAAACCGGAACAAAGTAATGCTGACATTAGTTCTTGGCGGCAGAAATAGGTAAGGTAGCAATACTTCCCTGGACGAACTCTTTCACAAGGAGCTCTACTGCTACTAAAACGTATATGACGTATATTGTGTTACCTGGTCAATAAATTTTCAGTATACATAAAACAAGGAGGGGAAGTAGAGAGCAGAGGAGGAGTTCTCGAATCGTCGTCATCTCACGTATCTCCTATGACATCCTACTGGAGAGCACCGGGGCTTGAAAGCCCAGCCAGACTACAAAGGTATCCCGACCACTATTCATCTGAACCAATAATGTATTTTAGAAGTTATCTGTACTAAAGTCACCAATAGCCACTAATTGTGTTACAGAAGGCAGTCGACTCCTGACAGTCGCGCGGATATTGTCCGGTGCGTGGAATACAAAGATTCTATAATGAGCCCACATAGATATACGTCAAGACATGTCACCACTACGCGTGCAGTTTGTGATCTCATCCCAAATAGCGCGAGAGCTCCGCTACCCTCACACGGTCCGCATCCGCAACCTGAATATATGGCTCGCGTCTGCCTGGAACTCGGGGTCCTCAACACCCCTCCGCTTCGGCATCAACCCCCCGCCCCCCTGCTCACCTGCTCCGTAGACTTTGAACCCTACGACAAACGTTTCGATACTGCCAAAGAAAACTGCAGCATTTGCGTCCAATCGAACCCTGACGTCTCCAAAATACCTTCACCACCGATAAAAAGCTGCCTGAAAAAAACAAAAAGCGACTTCACTTCAAGTATATCACTGCCGTCCATGGAAGTCATCAATGACGAGCCAAAACCTAAATCAGACATCGATCAAGTGAACCGTGAGTGGAAAAAGGCCTACGACTCGCCTGAAACGGACAAAATGCTTAACAAAATATCCAACGATTTAGATTTTCTTCTAAATAGGACTCAGGAGCAGAGTAAAAATGTTTTAGATCAAATAGAGGAAGCGCCCACTTAGGAGAGGGAAGATATAGAGACATAAGAAGAAAATGTTAATGGATACAGGGGTGCAAAATGCCATTTAGATAATGAAATTGTGAATAGTATAACAGTTTTACGAACAAATAAAATTGTAATTAAACGCATACCTTATTCCAAGCTGTATTAGAGCGGAAGTAGATATCTTTTCAGTGTGATATCTTCCACACCACAGCCTCGCAACACTAAACTGCATTTGTTATTCACTGGCATTGAGTTACCAGAATCACACGAAAGAAATTTCAAAATTACGTATTTTTTTTTACTTGCTTATATATTTTCAAAATGTAATATTTTATTAACAATTATAAACTAGTGGAGTAATTTCACAAAAAAACATTGAATATCATGGTGACCAAACATTCTGACATTCAATAAAAAATTTAATTACAATATTTAATATTATTTTCTCGACATTCATGCTATTTATTATAATATGTCGATTACCCACGTTAACAGCTTCAAAAGCGAAACCCAATCGGAATCTTCTTCGGATCATGGTCGTAGAGGACATCAGCGGTCGTTTTCAACCCTCATAGAAAACGGTCAGTTTTATTTTTTGTTATTTTATTGAATGTTCATAAATTCAATAAAATACTAAATAATAAAACTGCATCGACGTTAAAGCTGCGATACTGTAGTTAAGTAAGAAATCACGCTGGATAGGGAAGTAATCGTCCGCCAAATTAATTTTATAGGCATAGAATAAGGTATCCAGACATGATAGATTTTATAGTTCTAGGTGGATCAAGTATAAGGCCATAGCACCAATAATAATACAGGTGGAGTAACTCCATAGAAACGTAGTAGCGCGACTTATACGGACGCACACTTTCCAATAATCCTCGCAGTGCAGTTACGTTGCATAGCGCGGATCGTATCACGCGCCATTAATTATAGAAGCTAAGCTTCCGCTCGGTGTTTAAAAAATGACATCAAATAGAAGACGTGTTAGTTTTGTAGTTGTTTTTATTGGTTTGATCAAGAGCGACTTAAATTCGTAATTATTCAGCATTTCATATCTATTTCATAATCATAGCATTTAACAAAGTTAATCTCAATATTGCAGGAGAATACTGTGACGAATACCTAATTTTTTAAAATTACTTTTACAACCTTTAGGTACAACTAAAATAATAATGTGACAACCCTACGCTCCGAACGAAGTGTAGGCATTAATGCGCGGAACAAGCGGAAGTTGCCCTACCTGTCTTATTATATATACTATGATAAGGATAAAGAATCCATTTACTTGAAACAACGAGGACGGACCTACGCGCTCGTAAATTATGCTTGATCGTGACAAGTAGAAATAAATTGCAAGCGGTAGTTACCTACGGGCGCGTTCCCATTATGTCGTGACGACAGATAGTCGTGCAGCTTAAGGTGTCGTGGCTTGTATATTTAAATGAAATTATCACATATACTTAGTACAACACGACCTTTTTGGCGTTACGACGACTGACTGTCGTGGCAATGGGAAGAGCTAGAACGACAATCGGACGATAAATAAAACGTCACGATAAAAATGTGCCGACAGATAATCGCAGCTTCAAACGATTCTGTCGTGCAAACGACAAGGCGGCTGCCGTGAACCGATAAATTGTCACAATCTAGTGGGTACAGCTAGACACGACAGTCGTTCAACGATAAAATAAACGTCAACGACACAGTCACGACAGATAATCGTGTTACGATAAATAAAACGTTATGACAGAATAGGAACACGCCATAAGCCGACCGAATAACTCACGTAATTTCACCTAGAATTGCCCAAGCACAAAAATTGTATCAACGACGGGCTATGTCAATATTTGCCATAAATGTTTCTTGTCGATCCTCAATTAACAATATTTACCTTAACGGTTACCATGAATAATAATCAAATGCTATAAATATTTAAATTATATATTATAATGATTGTGATTATTAATCTTCAACACATTAATCAGTAGGTAAGTAAATATTATTAGGCAATGATTTTAATCGGTAATGAATTGATATAGATAGTTGGTATGATTTGTTACTTGTATAGTATAAAATATGTCTACAAATATTTATGTTTTTTTGTTCTAAGGTTTTTATTATAATATTGACCAAACCCCATCCCAAAGTTATTTATTAATTATTATGACAATTATTATTGAATTTACTTTGATTATTAACAAGGTAGGTAAATAAACATGTAAATAAACGTGTATGTTTAAGGTAAATTCTGAACGAATTATATTTTACGTTAAATCGGGTACAATATATTTTTATTTACAAATAAATTTTTTACAATTGACTCTATGCGTTATTTCTCTACATTCTTTGATTTTTAGTTACCAACTAGTTCGCTTTTTCTACTTGTAATAAAATGGTGCAAATTAAATTTTACTCTCGTTAGAAACAGGAAGAAAATCGGTGTAATATGTTATATATACTGTTCGTAAGTATCTAAACAAATCTTTCATTATTCTGCGTTCGGACAAAATGTGGGTAGTCTTGGAATAAGTCGCCAGATCGCAATATAATTTCACCTGCATTTTTTCTAATATTCGTTCGAGAAGCCTGCATAGGAGCGGAGGAGCACTGTGACGTCATCCACCATCTCCCACGACATGGAGCGGGAGAGATGGGCTTGTATGGTTATTCGCTACATTAATATTTTGCATTTTGTCCGACTACCGCAAAAATACAGTCCACTTCTATAGAACCACCCAAATCACATGATTAGGTATTATAAATTACAACTTTCGTCAACACGAACTCTTGGATGATGCTGCTAACTTATTGCAATAATATTACATGATGCCGATTGCAAAACTCGCAACTAGATAAAGTACTTGGTACTTGGTGTAACGGGCTGGTATCCGCAACTCGACGTCAAGGCGCCTATTTTGCAGGCATCCAAAACAATTTCCAAAGAACAAAATATATATATATATATATATATATATTTGTAGGTACTTATGTCAACAATACGGTTTAAGTTGGAAAATATTATTGTGATAAAAAACATTTTTGTTAAGTGTTATGGACACATTTATATCTCTATTATTACACTACCCCCAAAATATACTAAGCGCTAGTATACTTATTAAAACATTAAGCGGCCAGTTACACGACGCGAAAGTTTTCACGCAGCCACCACGCGGTGACCGCCCAGTTACCACGCTTTCACATACATTAATGGCGAAACTAAATTCTATATACTAGGCAATAACATTTAAATTTCTCTGAATAATACAACCGCGCGGTCGCCGCGCGGAAGTCGCGCGGACGCCGCGTAGACTAGAGACAAGCCAGCCATTTAATTTAAAACGTAAATGCTAAATAACTAAAGCGTATTTTATCATGACAGTTAGACGCACGCGGTTGCTGCGCGGCGGGCCACTCGGTCTCCACGTAAAGACCGGTGGTAAAATTGATCTACTGAAAAAAATTGATTTTTATTTTAATTTAGTATCTCCTTCTTTCTTAATTATTTACTGTATTTCAATATCATGATTCCGTAGAATAAAAATTAATTACATTCCTGTGTACGTACTACACCCTATTCATACTACAAAATGAGAAAGCACATTAACTATTTCTCCCGCTACACGGCGCTTGAATGCTGGCGCCTGTCAAGCTAAACATTGGCGGATCTTGTTCCCCTACACTACGAGCGATATTTGAACAAAAATACACACGTAACGTGTTAAAAACGAATATAAAAAAACAGTTGATTTAATCAATGTTTTAGTTTTTTTAAACAACTGTGTAAAATATATGATGCCACCCGACAATACCGCCGCCGCCGTTCGAGATAAGCATCAGACGCTGCGCCCCCTCCGATGATTTACTTACGATCGGCGCACATCTCTGCTACACCATAGTAATCTGTGCTACACCATAGTATAATAAGACAAGTATGGTAACTCCATTCATACGCAGCAACGCGACTTATATGCATGCACACCGCCGCGCGCCGTGTTCAGACGCACACATTCGCATAATAATGAAGGTGCGTGGGACCAACACTATGAGCAACGCCAGTGCATCGCGAAATAATGCGAATGTGTGCGTCCGTACACAGCGCTGTAACGTTTGTATAGAGATGGTAACTCTTGTCTTATTGTACTATGGCTATACTAAGCAATGCTCTTCGGCTCCAAACAATTACTCTGCTATCATCAGTGCCGAACGGTGCCGAGCTTTAGTATTGGAAGTTGGACAATTCGTTTCATTATTTGATTTTTAGTTCGGAACTTAATCATGCATAAAACATATTTTAATAGACAACTCTAGTGCACAAATAAATAAAGAAGATCAAGTGTGGGTAGCTATCGCACGGCTAGAAGATGTTGTAGTTTTGTTAAAAACCGTTTTTTCTGAGGTGAAAAAAAAAAACATGTAAAGAGATCGTTTTTTTCTAGAGTACGTTTTTTCTAAAAGTATGAAAATAAAAATATGACAATTGTATTTTTTTACTACACATCCTTTTTTGTTGTTTATATTATTCTTCATAGATAAATTGTACAAAATAAATGGGCAACACTCATAGTGTTGTCAGTTTGTGGCGAATTCCCCAAATTGCGGGTAATTTCGACACAATTGGGCATTTTGTGGGATTGACGCTATGTGGGGAAAATGCGGGGATTCTAACATTTTACCTTTTTTTAAAATGCATCGATTGCTGTTGCATCGCTACTTTGATGATTGCTGATACAAACACTACTTATTTATTTATCTAAGAGCGATATCAATATTTTTTTCCACGTCTCACATATCCCTTATATAGAATTTACATAGAATTATTAGCAAGCCCCTCACTATGGGCCTCAAAAGAAGGCTCAAGGTCACTCAGCGGGCAATGGAGAGAGCGATGCTCGGAATCAGAAATGAGGAAATCCGTAGGAGAACTAAGGTAACCGACATAACTCGAAAAATTGCTCAGCTGAAGTGGCAGTGGGCGCGGCACATAGCTAGGAGAACCGATGGCCATTGGAGCGGAAAGGTTCTTCAATGGCGACCGCGCACCGGACGACGCTCAGTGGGTAGGTCCCCCACCAGGTGGACCGACGAACTGGTGAAGGTCGCGGGAAGCCGATGGATGCGGGCAGCGCAGGACCGATCGTCGTGAAGATCGTTGGTTGAGGCCTATGCCCAGCAGTGGGCGTCGTATGGCTGAATGATGATGATGATGATGATTAGCAAGCCGCTCATATAAAATTATTCGGTAGGATTTGAATGAAGGAAACGAAGACAGAAAATTTTGATGACATTACAATTGTGTATAACACCCGTAACAGTAGTAACACTAGTAACACCACAAATGAAGATTAAATTTTTGTTATAGTTATCATGGTAATTGAATTGGTTTTAATAAACATGTTTTATATATATTCACATATATACATATATATATATATATATATATATATATATACAAAAGTTAGTGTCTTATTTTATTTCAGTTATTCCATTTTACTTTTTCTGAAAAAAAAAACAAATTTAGAAAAAAAAACCAGGGTGCTGTGCTTCAGACCTCTTCAGTCCCTTCGAGATCATAGACGTTGCAATACGTCCGAAACGTCGTCGAGGTAATTAGTAAAATGTTTTATGACATGATTAAGTAAAATCAAATAATGTGTGAAAATTGTGAAAGTTTTAAATCCATTCGTTTCAGCCCTTAATTCCCCAAGTAAGTATGTTATGGCCATAGGTCGGAAAAAGGTGTTCCACATAGATACATTTATAGACATAGCTATAAGGAGCGACATGGAGTTGTTAAAACCACCAAATATTACTTATTTTTTCGGATTCCGGATTTCCGGAAATGGTTTTACTGCATCGTAGGACAAACTAATGACCTAGGAAGTCGAAGTTGGATTTTAAAATTATTCTAAGGGCGCCATGTAAAGTCTGTTCCAATCCATTATGCCAAAAAAGTAAACACCCGTTTGGTTAAAATTCTAAAGCAATCACTCAATAAATGGAATAAGTAACACTTTAGCGTATATTTTGAAGATTTTAACTTGATATCCCATCACTTTTTCCAGCAATATTCATTTGAATAACATAGTAAAATCTTGTTCGAAAAATGTTAGTTCAAGAGTGAGTTTAGTAATCAAATATAGATTTGTGAATGTCCTAAGGTTGCATAGGACTGTGCGGAAATAACTCATTCGGTTCATTCAATTAAAGTTTTTGTAATCGATTAGTGCATCGAAAATTTTATCACAATCGAACAAACATATAAGTGTAAGGTTTGAAGGAGGATTTAAAATTAGAATTCCGATATTCGAAATATGCTTTTTTTATAGGTTACGTAAGAAAAAAATTCTAATCTCATGTATGAAATATCATCACTCAGTATTGAATCACATATTTTTATAGTAATCAGCAGCGAAATCGCAAAACCCATTGGATTGGAACAGACTATTATAAATAATGCAGTAGATAACGGACCTTTTATCGAAACGGAGAATAAAGAATTAACGAGAATGGTCACTCTCCGCCCCTCCCCAGCTTTAGATACAGCATATTGACGGAACGACATTAATAGTAGAACTTAAGAAAAAAATTACTTAAAATTTTATTTACAAGGGGAATTTTAGGACATTTTAGT